TGGATACCCCTGGAGTAAGTTTCTGTGTCATTGTGCCCTGGATAATACCTAGCAGAAAGTAGGTTCTCACTTAGCGTTTGTTGGATGAAAGACAAATGGTAAGGGGCTGAGGGCCTAAGCAAGCCTCATTTTGCAACAGAGAAAGATAGGAAAGGGTGTCTTCTTTCCAGAAACCTGACAAATACTGCTGGGCCATGAGCCATATGGACCTACTAGGAGAATCCACTCTTAAATTGAAAAGTCAACTGACTATAAGGAATAACATAAAGGTGCCCAGACCATAGAATACCTGTAGGTCAATTTTCCATAGTGGCTACTGCTGTCTTTATAATGTGCTCCCTGGCACTTTCAGAAGCTTCTATGGGCCACTTACTGCACAGTAATCCTGACCATCCCCATCGCTCAGTGTCAGAGGGAATACAGCCTGAAACTCCTTGCCAAGCTCCTGTAGTAAGTATCAAGGCAGAACCTCAGCATTCTTCACTTTCTAAGGGAGTTGTCACCTTTCTTGGGAACACCTTCCATTCCATCTCCACCCTTTTCTGACTTGTATAAAAACTTTCCTACCACCATTTGAGCCCATTCATCCTTCTGGCCTCCACTGGAGAGATCTGATTTGTTTCTGTATCTTTAAATTATCTGGAACTAAGTAGAGACACAGCAAATAATCATGAACTAAACAAATGAGTTAAAGGATAATCTAGTTTCAGTGAGGCCAGACAAGCATTTCTCGCAAGAGTGCAGGATCCAATCTGTTGCCATATGCCATTCTTTAAGTATCTTTGGCCTCTAAAAGCATCAGCAGGGTGTTGCCTGACACAATTAAGTACTTAAAGGCTCCATTTGTTTTTCTTGCAACAAATCTCTTCCTCCCAACTACAGCTGATGACAGACTTTGCAGCTATAGCATCAGACTCAGCAGACAAACAGGACCAGAGAGCCTATGCCTACCACTCCTACAAACAATGGCCCAAACTCATCCTAATTGTTCAAGAGAAGACAGTTAGGAGTTTCCCTAGTTCAGTGGCAGTATATGGCTCAGAGCTTACATACTAAGCCATTCCAAAGTTTCTTGGAGAGAATCTATACTCAGACATACTCAGGATTGCCTGGGAGACAGACGCAGCAGGAGTGGATCCCAGGGAATAAGATCTTCAAGAGGAGCTCTCATTTCTTTCATAAGGAGATAGGAAGAGACCCTGGGGAGCTCAAGAATAAGCCAAGGTCTGGTTCAGCTGCTGAGATGCAGCCTGACCAATTAAATAATTGGTGTGATGGGGAAAGGAGGGAAGCCACTCCTTTCAGGCAAGATCCAGCCCCAGGCAGGAGGCTCTGGGCAGCTGTGCAACAACAGGGCAGGGATCTCTTCCTCTTCCTCCCACTAGCTGAGAGCTAATGATTAAATTAGCACCTTGGAAACACCCAGATCTCCTGGTTGCTCCTTCTTGCTCAGCTCCTGACACTCCCCCAGGCCTCCTTCTCAAGCTGATTTTCTCTTTCAAGTAAAAGAAGAAAAGGGGGAAAAATGATGCCTTCTCCTTCAGCTCACCTTTCCAAGTAAGGAATGGCTTCTAGATTCTTCCCACTACTCTGGGGTAGAGGAGGTTTTGATGATAAGAGCCCAAATAACTGGCCTTTTGGGTACTCAAGGTCCTGAAAGAGGCAATGATGTTGACACCAGATTGCCCTGTTTCCTTTGGGATTAAAGAGGCAGCACCCCTTTTCCCTCAGGAGGAGCTCATTCAGAAAGTACTGCTTTTTTTTTTTTTTGTTTGTTTGTTTGTTTTTTTGGTTCTGGGGACTGAACTCAGTAGCACTCAACCACTGAACCACATTCCCAGCCCTATTTTGTATTTTATTTAGAAACAGGGTCTCACTGAGTTGCTTAATGCTTCACCTTTGCTGAGGCTGGCTTTGAATTCATGATCATCCTGTCTAAGCATCCTGAGCCACTGGAATTACAGGTGTGGGCCACCACTGTGCCCGGTTCAGAAAGTGAACAAGAGAAATAAAACTTCACCAAACTGTGAGCTCCAGGAGGAAAGGGCCATATCTGTGTCTGTGTTGCTAACCATTCCCTGATATCTAGTGTAGTGTTTGAAACAGGGCAGATGCTCAATAATTATTTAGTAAATCACTTGCTAAATCAATGAAACCAGGTTCTATGATATACTTTGGAAGAGAGAGTGGGGAGCTACTGTTTAAATTTCAAATGCATAATTTGTCTTCATTTTCATAAAAGGAAAAGGAGACTTCCTAGAGGTCTCCATAAATAAKGGTAATAAATAAAAGAGATCACAGCTAAATCCAAGCCTGGAACCCTAATTTTATAGTCTACCTGAGTACCCCTAAAGAACCATTTTTGCTCTCTCTTCTGCATTTTACCTCTGTGATATCTTCTTGATTGCTAATGCTCCAAATGAAGGCTCCTGTATTTTGTTGAGACCAGCAGAGTCTTGTATGGGGAAATGCATATAAGACTCTGCTGGTCTCAACAAAATACAGAAATAATCTGGGGACAGAGGTCAAGAAGCTGGGCAATGTTTATGACCTCCAAATGGGGGAGGGCTATATTGCTATTTCTATAAGACTCACTCAACCTCAATAAAATATTCTTTTGCAGACAAGGGCTACTTTAGTCTTCAAGAAAAGGGTCTGCCAATAGCTACAGTTATTCTAATAAGTACCTCCTTGCCACAAATACTTTTACTCCAGGATCACACAGCAGAAGTAGCTTACTATTAAGAACTTCAGGGGGGCTGGGGATGTGGCTCAGGTGGTAGCGCGCTTGCCTGGCATGTGTGTGGCCTGGGTTCGATCCTCAGTACCACATACAAACAAAGATGTTGTGTCCACCGAAAAAACTAAAAAATAAATATTAAAAAAAAAATTCTCTCTCTCTCTCTCTCTTTAAAAAAAAAAAAGAACTTCAGGCACTAGGCAGAGTGGCACACACCTATGATCCCAGAGACTCAGGAGGCTGAGGCAGGAGGAACACAAGTTTGAGGACAGCCTCAGCAACACAGTGAGACCCTGTCTTTAAAAAAAAAAAAAAAAAAAAAAAAAGGACTGGGGATGTAACTCTGTGGTAAAGCACCCCTGGGTTTGATCCATAGTACCTAAAAACAAACAAACAAACAGCAACAAATCTCAGTCAATAACAGAGGCACAAAGGACAACTGAGAGATTCTGGTGGCCTTATTCCTTCTTCTCCTTCCTTGTACAGTTACTATCTTCCTTCTCAGGAACCCCAAATGGAAGACAAGAACCAACTCATTGCTTTCTTCTCCTGATTTACTTGAACCTCCTGCTTTCTATCTCCCTCCCTTTTGTTTCTTGGTTAAAAGCTTAGAAGTGGAAGGGTAATCTAGTCTGACAAGCAAGAATGGTTGGATAGAGAACCCATCAAGGAAAAATTTCCTAAACCAATCCAAAGTTCTTCAAGTTCATGATACAAACTCCCTCCTTTTCTGGCTCCAACATAATTCACTAGTGGCATCAGGCTACGAAAATGTCCTGCACCATCTCTTTACTTTCCTTAGTTTAAAATTGTACACTTCTATAAAGCTTCTCTGTTTTGGCATCTAGAACCAAGTCATCACAAAAGGGGGGAAAAGTCACTTATTTTCATTCACATCCAGTCATTGGGTGGCCACTAATAATTCTCTCTACCATTCCCCAAAAAGGCATGGCACAAAGGTGGTCATGGGTCCCTGCCAAGGCCCACCTTGTCTATTGATAATGGGCAGGTTACTTGCCTAGGAAGCCATAAAATACATTCATCAGCCAGAGGACTGCCTGCTCAAGGGCAGAACCTGTTCCTAGCCACCAGAGGAGGAGGCTTAGGGAGGCCCAGAGCTTCAGGACTTGGAGAGCTCAGCTCAGCTCCAGCAGAGAGCAAAGAATAGGGCACCCGCATCTTCAGGTTTCTGGCTTGCCCTGCCTCTTCCATCTCATGATGGCTTGGGCTCCAAGGGGGAGAAAACCAACAAGGCCTAAGAGCTCTCTCCCTTCCCGTCTCTCTAGACCAGCTGACTAGGCCTCTGCGCTTGCTATTCAGTAGCCGGACAGAGAGGTCAGTCCGCTAGATTCCAGGGCAATGGCCATCAGGCATGGTCTCCTTTAGGCCTGGCCTTCGTAAACCCGCGTCACCCGCCCCTTCAATCCCGTCGGCGCCGGCAGCGATGACATCATTCCTCTCTGACTCCGGGACCGAGAACCGGCGGCAGGATCCGCTCCCAGCAAAGACTCCAAGCACGTAGGCCTAGGATGACTGGGGCTCTTGCAAACCAGTGGGCACAAACCGCTTCAGCGCAGCCCCACCTTCTCTCCCATCGGTACCAGAGCGCTATCTTCAGTACCCTTGATCTCGATCTCGCCGCCGCACACTCTCCTTCCTGGTTCCGATCCCCCAGCCTGGCCTGCCTGCGCTCTTCTCAGGAAAAGAACTGATTTCCCAGGTCCTGCACGGACTCCCTGCCCCCACCGGTCCCAGACCGTGGCCCAGCGTTCCTAACCTCATTCAGCGGACTGGCGGGCAGGCCCCTCCTCTTCTAAAAGCCTAGTCCCAGTCTCTCTTAGCTTGATGGCTCCCTCCCCCTCCCTGAGCATCACAGGCCTCTAGGGCTAAGGGCCTATCCACCTTCAATCTCAGCCCCCTGGGCCTAGCGCCCGCGGTGCTCCATGACAGTTCCCTTGCTATCTTCCTCTATGGGGGCCTCCAATAGCGGTGTGCACCATTGTGCCCTGCTCTGTTCCATCCGACGGCGTTCCGCCTCCGCCGAGGTTGCCCTCCACCAGTACAGGTCCCTTCGCTCCCACACCCTGCTATTCTTCCGTTTTCTTGTCCGGTAAGTCTCCCTTCAGCGGCAATGCGTTTTCAGGGCCCTTTGCCCTATTTAATGACTCCCCTCAGAACAATCCCCACGGACTGATTCCCTCCCACCCCCTCAGGTGGCACCTCCTCCCGGCCCTGGCCTGCTCGCTGCCCGCCCCCTCACCAGCGGTTGCATCTCCGAGTGCGCGGTGGGCACCTGGAACCGGTCGATCTCCTCCATCATGGTGCCGGCGGGAGAGCTGGCCAGGGGCCGGGCGCGGCCAGGGATGCCGACGGGACCGCGCGGGGCGGCGGCCCCAGGAGCCCGGCGGGTGGTGCAGACTAGGCCGCCCCGGATGAGTCGGGCGGGCAGGCGGCCAGGTGGATAGAAGGGTGGACAGTGAGCGAGAGGTTCGTGGGCGGGCTGAGGCCGGCGTGGCTCCGTGGGCTTGCCTGGCGCTACCGCGGCTGTGGCCCTACCGAGCCGCAAGTCTGGCCTCTCCTCCTCCTCCGCCGCCGCCTCCTGTCAGCAGCTCAGCCACTGCGGTGACTCGGCAACTCCACTTCCGGGTCCGGGACACCGCCCGGATCCTACATTATTCATGAGGAGGCGGTGTCTGGGCGCCCTAGCCCTCCCACATGCGGGAGTTCCGAATGCGCCCGGCCTCCCTAAGTATTATTCCTGAGAGGGCGGAGCTTAGTGGAGCCGGAGGATCCCCGTTTGCCCGGCCCCGCCTTCTCTCCGTACCGGGAGGGGGCGCCAGAGGCGCCTGCGCCTTAGCTGCCAGTCGGTTGCTGGGTAACCGCGTCAGGGAGGAGCCTATTTTATCCTACAAGGACGCGGGTACCCACGACGCCAGCTGTCCCCAAAGAAACCCTGCAACTAGGAATTGAAGTGGAAGAAAGTTAGGATTTCCTGTGTGTGGTCAAGGAGAAGGACAAATTTTCTGTTCTTAGGCAAGAAAGCATTTACTAGACTTTCCAGGGGTTGAGGTGCTTCTTACTTCTGCGGAGATGCCCCCGAAACAGCCTCGTAAATCGGTAATGCATATCATGACCTGCTCTCTCCTGATGGCCTCTGACCTTTGCCGTCAGTGACCTGATGCTACCTCTTCCACCGATCCTTAATCTTCTTTCATCTGTTGACCCTTAACCTTTTCTCGCTGGTGACTCCTGGCCTGTACTCTCAAAAGACCTCTGACTTTGTCCTGTTCTCTCTCACTAATCCTGTTCTCCTTTCCTAACCACCCCCCTCAAAAGCTGTTTTTTACCTCTTTTTTACCTGTCTCCCTCACCATTCTGATCTCACCCCACTCATTGCACATACTCATCTTGACCAGTCTGTCCTACTTGGCACTCTTACCTCCACTTCCACCAATCCCTTCCTCATCGCCCCACACTTTTGTCCCAAAAGAATTATTTGGCCAACTCTGCTGAGTTCCCAGCACTGGGATAGGTGGGGACACAGACCTTGCTATGAGGGAGCCCACAGAGGGGATGAAAGAGACTTGGAACAAGAGACTCAGAATATTATACAAAGGAGTTTGGCTTAGATTTTCTGTGCTAAAAGACTTCTGAGGAGGGAGAGGTCAAACAGAGAGAAAGAGGAGGCCCTTTTCCCATCCCTGCTCCCACACCACCCTTTGCACATGTCTTTCTTCCCTATGAGTCTGGTCCGCTCCAGTAACTCATTCAACCCATGTAGGCATTATGTCCTTGTTCCCATTTGGCCAGATGTCATCTCTTCTCACAGGAAAATTGAGTCACCTCTCCCCTTAGCCTGAGCAGAGGATTCTTTCCTTTTTTCCCAGCATTACCACAGAAGATAAGTAATTCTGGCTTCTCCAAGAACCCTCTGAGGTATAAAAAAAATTCATTCAGTCCTTAAGAAATTACTTTTCTAAATCCTTTAGGATTTACCACTCTGAGGCTAACATGCAGTTCCAGCTCTATAAAGCAGAACTTCTATTAATTTATTCTAAATTTACTACTCTGAAGCCCAGGTATATTGAGGTTTGAAGAGTAAATCTGTGTGTGTCCATGCTATTTATGATTTTATATATTTTGATATGGCTGCTTGTATATAATGTTGACTCCTCTGCTGTTTTTTAAAATATATATTTTTTAGTTTTAGATGGATACAATACCTTTATTTATTTATTTTTATGTGGTGCTGAGGATCAAACCCAGTGCCTCATATATGCAAGGCAAGTGCTCTGCCACTGAGCCACAATCCCAGCCCAACTCCTCTGCTTTTACATGGCCTTCTGTGGCAGATGAGCTATCTTTCTTAGATCTCTGTAGCTATGGAAGGTAACTATTCCTGTTGGGCTGTGCCCTAGTTTTATGTTGAAGTTGAGCTGTGCTTTGAAGCCCATGTACTGTGCTTGGGCCATATGATCCCTCATTTATAGGTAGTTTGTTTTTAACTTGACATTATTGAGTTCTGGTTACATACAATAAAATGAACCATGTTAGTTTGACATGTTTCAAGTTTTGACAAAGTTATAATGTATTAATTACCAGTCAAGATGGAGAATATTTCCTCTATTCCTAGAAGTTCCTTGTACTTCATCACAGTTAGTTCTCTTTAACCTCTTTATCCAGATAGCCATTGATTGGCTTTTTGTCACCATAGATTAATTTTTCCTTGCAGCTTGCAGTTTGAACAAGCTTGGGGACAGGTTTCTCCAGCCCATTAGAGGAGACATTAGAGACTAGTTACATTGAGAGCAGAGAGAAGTGATAGCAGATAAAAAGAGAAACCTTATGGGGCTGGAGTTGTGGCTCAGTGGTAGAGTGCTCACCTAGCATGCATAAGGTGCTAGGTTCAATCCTCAGCACCACATTTAAAGAAAAAAAAATAATGTGTCTACTACTCATCCTACTTCAGACCTTACCATTACTCTGTAAAAATTCCACAACCCAGATACTGAACTGCCCTTACTGYCTTCAAAGTAATATCTATACTCTCTTTTCCTGTCATTTAAAACTGCTGTTTCTACTGCCTGCCTGCTATAATCTTTTCTGTCACCCCATCTTGTCCCAAATCTTCCCTTCATCTCCTGTTCATCCTTCAGGTCTCGCTTGGCCCTCAAATTCTCCTCCAAGAGATTGATTCTTTTTTCTGGAGACAGGTTAGGGTGTCATGGCACCTATCTGTCTTGGCAAATATCACGTGTATCTTCTTGTTCATTGTTGATTCCCCTGTACCTAGCACAATGCATGGAATATATTAAATTCTGGGGAAATTAATTTAACTTGAATTCTGAATGCATGATCTGTTTTTTGGAAATTTTCATTTGGGGTATTTTTGAAGGATAGGAGTGAATGAGCCTGGGATGGGGGATAATAATAAGGGAGAAACTAGTAGGAAGTGATAACAAGGAAACACACTGTATAAGCATATTTTTCAGGGTTTATATTTGTATTGCCTTTGTAGTAGATCTACAAATGATTCAAATTTAAATTTCATGTATCCCTGGCTTAAGAGCTGGGCATTGGAGACTAAGAGGTTAAAAAATATTCATGATGTAAATATTCATTTCCTTTAATAATTTATAGATTATTAACAGTATCTGTGCCAGATACTGTTTTAGGTATGGGTGACATGGTAAGAAACAAAACAAATAAAATTCTCTGCTTGTGGGACATGGTGGTGCATACCCATAATCCCAGCTCTCAGGAGACTGAGACAGGAGGATCACAAGTTTGAGGCCAGCTTGCACAATTTAGCAAGATTGTATCTCAAAATGAAAAATAGCAAAGAGCTGGGGATATAACTCAATGGTAGAGCGCTTGCTTAGCATGCATGAGGACCTAGGTTTAATTCCCAGGACTGAAAAAAAAATCCTTGCTATCATGGAGCTTATCTTTTAATTGGAAGTAAATTGTTGGTAAATAAATAATACAATAGTATATCAAATGGTGTTAAGTGCCAAGGAGAAAAATAAACCAGGGAAGTATAATAGGAAGTTCAGGGAATGAGAATAATTTAAATAGGGTTGTCAAAGAAGTCTTCACAGATATGATATTTGAGCATAGACCTGAAGGAAACGAAAGAGTTAGGTATGTGATATCAGGATGTGGGTGGGGTGCATTCCAGACAGATGGCATAGGAAGTGTAAAGTTCCTGAGGTGGAAGCCTACTACACATGCTCTGGATCATCAGGGAAGGGAGGGGGAACATGGCAGAAGATAAGGTCAGAGAGGTACATCCCTCTACTCCACAGAGTTAATCAAATAATCCATGGCATATTAAATTGGTCATGATGGAGCTCCATGAATCATAATTTGGAATTAAAATGCATGAATGTCAGGCACCATAAACCATGACCAGCTCAAAACATCACTGGTAATGCCCCAATAACAAAGTGTCCTTCCTGAAAATTGCGAGAATGCCAACTGGCTGCATGTGTACATGTGCAAGAGGAGCTTTGCAGCATTGCCAAACATTGCCTGGCAGCCTGACTTCTTAGTAGAAAACCAAATTAGAGTCTTCTGTGAACTCCAGTTAAAGCTAATTTTAGTTTATGACTAACAAATTTTAGTACCCCTTTATAACTCAGTTGGTTACCATAAAAAAAAAAAGTCTGGAATTTTGTATTATTTGCCTATAAAAAAAAGAAAAACTTGCATTTTAGATCATTTTGTGGACTCCCTAGAGGCTCTTTTTGAACACAACTTTTAGAAATATCCATCTAGATGAAGGGTTACTAGGATGGGGTAAGGGGCAGGATTGGGTACAAGGCTAAAAGAGAATCTTGGATAATTCAGAAATTTTGAGTCTGGTAATGGGGCCTAGAATCCATAGAAGGAAGGATAGGAAATGAACAGAATCTAGGGGAAGTTGATGTGGTTCTTTATGTCCAAAGTAAGATCTCTATGATTCTTCACCTCATTGTCAACCTAACACGTATCTTTCTCAAGTCCTAAGTAGGATCTTTCTCCCCTTTACCTCTTAAATATCTCTCAAATTAAATCACTGCTACTTCCCTGACTCAACCTATAATCCTCTCTCACTTAAAAACTATAAAAACCTTGGAAATGGTCTTTTCCTCAGCCACTCATGACTTTTCCAATCTGTCCTCTACACTGCATCAAGAATGATCTTTTCAGGGCTGGGGTTGTAACTCAGCAGTAGAGTGCACCACATAAAAAATAAATAAATAAATAAATAAATAAAAGAGATTGTGTCCATCTATAAAAAATATTTTTAAAAAAGAATGATTTGGGGGCTGGGGTTATGGCTCAGTGTTAGAGCGCTTGCCTAACACTTGTGAGGCCCTAGGTTCGATCCTCATAAAAATAAATAAAAAATAAAGGTACAATACCTTTGTGTCCAACTACAACTAAAAAATTAAATAAATATTTAAAAAAGAATGATCTTTTCAAATTGCCAGTCGGATTATGCTATCCCCCATTCAGAATCCTTCCATGACTTCTAATATCTCTTAGGATAGGATCTAGATATTTCAAAAACCCTGCAGGGACCTTCATGGGCTGAAGCCTGCATGATCTATTCTATGCATATTTTTAGTACCTGGTACATGCCAGGTACTTGAATAATAATGGCAGAAGGCTTTTGTG